CATCAATGCAACTTATGCCATGCAACTGTTAAAATAATGTAATAATACTATTTATTATTGTAACTATCAGTGTATTGTACAAGTATGGAATACGTCATTTAGAACCCATTACACAGTGGAATCGACACATCACGACCGCCCTCACACGTTAAGGAGGTTCTAGCCAAATTAAGGATTATACATGTATACGTTCAGCAATTTTTCATTTTTATGGGTTCGTATCATCAGGATACGAAAATGAACAAAATGGGAACATTTTTTGAGATACAAAAGAGTCCAAAATGTCATACACATATTCAATGGTTTCCAGTGTGATGATATTTTTCCATTCTATACAAGGGGAGGTTATTTCCCATAATGCATTGAGTGTGTGTGCTGTGATATTCCCAATAGTGCAAAATTTGAACTGCCTTAACTTATGACAAATTAACTAGCAGATTTACAGATATAATGTGGATAGTCCAATAAACAGTAACATATACTCGTTTCACCCATTTTATACTGAAAGCATATTTATGATTTTTTATCAGTATCAGAAACTGCTAAGCAGTGGACCGGAGCTATAAAGTTGTCGTTTTGCTCCACGAACATAGCGGAGATGTATCGATGTGGAGATAAAGAAAAAATATTGAAAGGAATACAAAAAGCATTAGAGAAGAAAGACACTCAACCACCATATTTAAATAGTTCGTTCGTTTGCAGTGTAAACGTGGAGGAAGACACATTTACTGTTATTTTGGCGTTCAAGTCTAAGCAATCGTGCATAGATTTCTTAGAGGTCAGTATAATATTTTTATTTATTCAACACAAACTATCTCACCGTCAACATTTCAGAAATAAAATTGAAAAGTATAGAAAAAAAATGTAATTTGTTTTTGTACCACGGCTGTCTTGTTTTAGCCAATCGGTTCTTTAGAACCTCCGTGGGTTATATGATATAATCTGCAACAAATTGACTTGATAAATTTACACGTGTTCACAAGAATAAATTAGGTGACGGAAACAAATTTAGAACATTTGTGGAACAAACTAGATAAGTCATGGTCACATGATAGTTACGACAAATAAACCGCCATTCATGCTTGTTGTTGTTTATATACGTTAGCCTCAAATATAAATAACAAGTATATAGTCCATGAGATATATTTCAATAATTTTGCATACAATTTTTGCTTTATGTGAATTGAACATGTGCTTCTAATATAGTAAATACGATATTCATCATATGTACTTCATGCTTCCAATACCTTCAGCCCATGGACCTTCTTTCCAAGCTTTCATTGATTTTCAATGATTTGAAGACTTTTATATTTGCCACTATGAATTAGAATTACGTCTAAATAGTTGATTTTACCGACCAAATTTATTCTTCTCACCGTAAAAAAAATATTTAAAGTTATACTAGTATTTGTGTTATTGTAAATCCTTATTTTTGTTTCATCAATATCGATAAATACCTATGTGATGTTCAATATAATGTTATGAATTACCAAGATACTTTTGTAATCCTTTCTTAGATACTGATAACAAAAGCCAGCATAAAGCAAATAATTGGCCGATGACTTCTTCAGTTCGAAACAAGCCGGTCATAAACATAAATGTTACATAGAATAATTCTGAGACTACAACCGCTCCTGGCCTCTACAATAGAATTGAAATCGTCCGTTGACCTTTGCCATACATGGCGTCATAAAAAGCTTCAATATCATTAGTTTTTGAATACTTAGACCTGTTACTTTTAATGTGATGTAATGCCCCAGATTGTAGATGCTGTTTATTCCATACATTCTATTTCCAGTATATTCTCACCCAAACTCATGTTGCGTGTGACCACTGCTGAGTTCATGAAGAGTAATAGTGTGTACGTGTCGCCTAACTTTAAACTTGGTGTTCTTAAATCAACGAATTTTTCAAATATTAATTCCATACTGACTGGAATTCACTAACATTTAAAGAGTTTTCGTATGCGACAATTGTTCACTAACAAAATTATAATATTTGCCTTTTTCAGAATGATAAAAAAACTGCGGACCAAAACGAGCATTGAATACCTATATTGAAGGTGACATCAAATCGTGTGATATATTGATATCAGATAAGGTTATAACATCGAAAGACGATATTGAAACGCTGATTAGCCATGTAGAGGTACTAGTATTATAATAATTATCATTTCGTCACGGGATTTTAAAATGTGTATATTTGACAAGCAAACGCTTCTTTGGGTCAGTACAAAATAACCGTCACATTAAAAACCGAAGAGCGTGAAAAACCGAGATTATGGTAATTTCAACAACAAATCATTTTGTCAGAGTATGCAAACATGCATATGTGATGAATTTATTTGGGCGTATCTGTTGATCGACTTATTTAGCTGATTACTAGCAAATGGCTGTGTTATGTCTGTCATCGTTTTGGCCCATGCGAGGTCCTGGACGGAACTCGACTCAGTGATTTGGAACTAATTACGATATAACCGTCGCTATTCGGACTACTATTTCTGACAGTTAGTATTCGCAGTTACTAATGTAGTGATTAATCAAAAGATATGACGTGTTCAGTACTTAGTGTGATTGGTTGAATGTGTGAAGGCCACGCCTTATAGTATTTTAACTGCTTTGTAATTGGTTAAGGTTTTGAAAGTGAATAAAGAGTTTTTAGTTGGTCTTGGCGAGTACACCAGGACAGACGCAGTCTAGCAGAGTCTAAGAGCAGTCTTGGGACAGAGTCTTGGTTCAGCCTTGCGATAGTCTTGGGGACTTTTCCCCGGGGCGCTGTGTCTTATAGAGTACTCGACTGACCGACTAAAGACGAGAGTGTGTCTATTTGACTTTCCCGATCCTGTACTTCAAGGGGACGCGATATAGAGACCAGACGAGATTTTCCCCTGGCACGTGTGGACCCAGAGGAGAAGAATCTTCCCCCTCATACATATA